ACACAAAGAAACTGAAAGATGAACCTCATTCATGTACTCACATAAACAGAAAACCAAAAATGAAAGAAGAAAGAAAAGAGAGGAAAGAAAAGATAAAAAGAGAAAAAAGGGGTGAATGCAAATCAAACTCCCACATGCACATTCATGCACCAAAAAGAAAAAAAAAGAAAAAGAAAAAAGAAAAAAATTAAAAAGAATCTGGGCACCAAGCGCCCTCTTGTGGTAGCTTCTGTAATTGTTCCTGTCAGCTGCTCACAGGTAAGTCCTTCTGCTGTCTCCTGCCGGGCTGTGGCCTCATTCACAGTCTCCCCAGCGTGGGTGGGGGCCCAGGGAAGAAGGAGGGGTGATGGGGGTGGGTGGGGCTTCAGTCCTCCTCCGCTACTCTTGTATGGTCAGGGGGATTCCCTCTGGTGGGAGGCGTGGGATTGTCTCCTCTCCAGGTACGGTGGGGGGCATCCCAGCCAGGCTTCTCCTGGAGCGGACTCTTCCTGTCCTGGCTGACATCCAGGCTCCACCTGAGTTCATCTCTCTCAGTTGTGCCCAGCTGTGTGGGTCTGATGTTCACAGGACTGCTGGGGAGAAGGGGGCTGGGTCAACTCCAGACTCACCACTGATCTCTTCGGGGGTCTTACTCACCCTTTCCTGGTCGTGCCCTTTGCTGATGAATGAATCCTAGTAGAAGGTGGGGTGCCGGAGACCCGGGACTCGTCCTGCTCCTCTGAAGTTTGTGTTTTCCGGATTTTCCCTCTGGGACTCGATCAACCCCTGAGTAGTTAACCTGCGGGCCACAGAGACTGGGTCTGTTGCTCTGTGGTGAGCAAGTCGGAGCACTTCCCTGCCCAGTTTTCCAGATGGTGGCAGGGCGCCTGCTTTGTCTTCTCCAGTGGGGCTCGCTTTCATGGTGGTTTTGATTTGCATTTCCCTAATTACTAACGAGGTACAGCGTCTTTTCATGTGCTTGTTGACCATTCGCATGTCTGCGTTGGAGAAAGATGTGATCAAATCCTTTGCCCATTTAAAAATCAGGTTATTTACCTTTTTGTTATTGAGTTGTGGTTTTTTTTTTTTGAGTTGTAGTCTCACTTTGTTGCCCAGGCTAGAGTGCAGTGGCATGCTCCTGGCCACTGCAGTCTTGACCTGCTGGGCTTAGGTGATCCTTCCACTGCAGCCTTCAAAGTAGCTGGGACTAGAGGTGTGCGCACCATGCCTGACTAATTCTTATTTATTTATTTATTGTAGAGATGAGGTCTCAACAAGTTGCCCAGGTTGGTCTTGAACCCGTGGGCTCAGGTAATCCTCTTACCTCGGCCTCCCAAAGTGCTGGGATTATAGGTGTGAGCAACTGTGTCTGACCGAGTTGTGTTTTGTTTTTTTTTGAGTTGGAGTCTCACTCTGTCGCCCAGACTGGAGTGCAGTGGCC